GTGATTAGATCTTTGTAGTGTTTTAGAGCTAAATATAGAGATAAGAAGGAATCTCAAGTCATCTTTTCCTAGTTCCTCTTCTGAAGATAAAGCAATTAGGGACCATAGGTATTACATAATTTTCTGTAAACCATATAGCTGCTTTATCACAGAGAAGAAATCAGAAAGTTGACTTCCTGGCAGCATTGATGGTAGTGTTAGTTCTACTGTCTTCCAAGAGGCCAGACCTCTCTCATCTCTCAGTGACTCACAGTAACACAGAGAACATTTTCCTTTTGTCTTTGGAAATTAACCATCACTGATAGAAGAATATATAGATATATAGATATATCTGGTCCCCAATGCATAGAGACCATCTTTATTTCTGAGCTTTAACTTCAATCTTCTAGGAAACAGCTGCCCAACTTCCATGTCTTCCTTTGATTCTTCATTCACAGGGTGGGAACTGGGCTGATAATTTAGTTCCCTGGTAGAACACTTGCCCCGCATGTACCAGGCCCTGGGTTCCACCCTTATCACATCTTAAAAATAAATTTTAAAAAAATTACCGAGTTAAAAACACTAATACCTAACAACTTCTAAAAAAAAATCGAGACCAAGAGATTAACTAAGTGTTGGGGTTTGCTACTTTCTCTTTATCTTTATCTGCTGGGGGAGCAGTGGCTGCCAATCTGACCTGTAACCCACAAAAAGCACAGTCCCACACCACTTCATCCCCAACATAAAAGCCATGACAGGAAGCATGAGCTTGCACAGGTGTCTTGCTTAACCCTGTTTGTATCTTTGCTCAATACTCACCTGATGTGGGTGTAGCTGAAATCACCTGGACTCCAAATAAATGAATGCAACCAGCATTCTCCCCTTTAAAAGAAAAAAAAAAAAATTCCAGGTATGGGAACGCAACCTATAATCTCAGCACCTGGGAGGTAGAAGCGGGAGGATCAGGTGTTCAAGTTCATCCTCAGCTACATAGCAAGTTCAAGGCTAGCCTGAGCTATATGAAGCTCTGTTTTGTTCAAAGAAACAAAACGTTTCTCTACTTCAGATCTGTCACATTCAGATTTAGTACCACCAAACAGGACCTAGTCTCTTCCTTTTCCAAGCCCCTGGTGTGTAAAAATGCTAAATCTGCCTGTGGATCAAATTATGTCTAACTTGTAACAGTGTTAATTAGCAATACAGACAATTTATTCATGAGATTTAGCCTTTTTTGAGAACTTCAACTTATGAAAATATGCATTTTTTCAGATTCTAGCAGGGCACTATTTTAATGTATCCTAATTAAAGTGATTTTGTAAGGTTTTGGCTATTTTTGTTAGGTGAAGGAAAGCAGAACTGTCAATGTAATAAGTTATTTTCTTTAACTATTTAAATTAGCTGTTGTGTTGCCCACTAGGAAAGATAAAATGCATCTTTAGGCATGTTAATGTCCAGGAATGTTTATAGTTCCTTGTCCATAAAATTGTAATCATAGGAGGGGCTGGAGAAGAAATATCTCAGTGGTTAAGAACACTTGCTACTCTTGCAGAGGACCCAGGTTTGACTCCCAGCACCCACATGGTGGCTCACAAGAGTCAGTAACTTTAGTTCCAAGGAATTCTATGCTTTCCTCTGGCCTCAGAGACATTTCACACACATGGTACAAAGAAATATGTGTGAGCAAAATACTTATACACATTAAAAAATAAATCTTTTTTAAAAATTTAACCAGAGAGCAAGTGAGATAGCTCAGCAGATAAAGGAGCTAGCCACACTAACCTGAGCTCCATCCCCAGGACTCACATAGTGAAGAAGGGAGCCAACTCCCACAAATTGTCTTCTGGCCTTCTATACATGCAACATGCATACATACATACACACTAAATAAATGTTTTTTAATTAACCAGAACTTAGGACAGTGTAATATATGAGAGTCACTTAATAATTTTTTAAATTTATTTACTAATTATGTATACAGCATTCTGCCTCCATGTATGCCTCACACCAGAAAAGGGCACCAGATCTCATTACAGATGGTTGTGAGCCACCATGTGGTTGCTGGGGATTGAACCCGGGTCCTCTGGAAGAACAGTTAGTGCTCTTAACCTCTGAGCCATCTCTCCAGCCCCCCACTTAATAATTTTTATCAAGTAAAAAGACAGTGTGGGGTAGTCTGTGAAACAGTAAATGATTCTAGCAACTTCTATCTCACTATATAATAGCTCTGATTGTTTTTTCCAAATTTTATTTCACAATTTCTGTGGTGTTTTGTTTTTATTTTTATTTTGTTTTATTATTTGCTATGCTGGGGACCAAACCCAAGCCCAAGGGTTACCATGTATGTTAAGAACATACTCTACCACTGTGACCCATATACTCAGCCCACAATTTCTTCATCTTTTAATGTCATAATTGTTACTTTCTTTCATGTACATATTGACTCATATTCTATTTTTAAACTTGGTGTTTTGAAGTTTAATTCTTCACACATTTATTGTATACTATATGTAATTTGTTACACCCAGGAGCAAAAATAAAACTTGGTATT